CAGGTGTCCAAGCTAGCTGTCTAATGCTTGAGCGTGGAATTATATGTATGTGTGCTTGTGTATGCATACACATATTCATACATAAATACGTGTAGGACACTTGTGATTTCAGCACAAAAAGTTTCCTGTTTTTTCTACTTCAAATCTGTCTTCAGACAGAATCAACTATCAGTATCAACTATCCACTGAGAAACTATTGCCTCTTCTGGACACCCATCTGTCCCAAACTCTGGGTGAAATCTTCCAGGTCATTCATCTTAATGTTAAGACTATTTTCCAAGACAACGAGCCTGTATTTGATCTTTTTGCTGTGCACTGTCTTTCCCCATCCAWCTCCAGTAAATTTGGTCTTGAGCAGTTTCAGTCTAATTTGACAGGGGGATACAAATACTTAAGAAAGATGTTTTTTTGAAATTCAATGTATTTATAGTATTTAGTATATATAGTGTGTATTTATACAATTAATACCTGGTATATTGGTGTACTCAAAAACATATCTTAAAACGCATTTCTGAAAGTAAGCATTTCAGAAAGTAAGCATTTCAGCAGAGGGCAGACTCCAGTGAAGAGGGATTGCAGCAGGAGCTTTTGCTTATTAGGCACCTAGGGTCACCTGGGGAAGAGATATCTAGGCACCCCTAGCTGGGGGTGRCAGGGGGGGACCCTCTGCTTAGAGTATAAACTCTGTCACAGGTCAGTGGATCTAATCACTAGCCCTAGCTGCCCAGGAGCCAGTCTTCAGTAATAATGCAACCTGGTGCTCCAGCATTTTCACAGATTGTGAAATTGTCTCTGCCTTGTGATCAGAGTCACTGCTAAGGGCACGAAGGAGATGAGCAGCTCTCTGACCCCCTTTAGGAACCGGTRCTGTAGCAAAGAAAATGGTTATGGGGAGAATGGTGACGTGCAGCATCTTCTCTGTTTTGTAGCACCCAAAGGTGGTGGATTGTCAGGGCTTGGCTCACTGAATCACCAAGGTCATTGTTTCTCTGAGCTTATGGAGAGCAGCTTTATGGATCGTTTCCTGAGCAGTCCTGCATGACTTTCTGAAGGTGGGGCTCTGCTGGTTGTGTGAAGCTCTGAAGCAATATGTGACAGATGTGCGTTATACTCAATTATATATCTACTGTAATAAAAATGCAATTCCTTTCTTGCCTTATTCATGTAGGATTTGGGAGCCTAAGCAGGATTCAGAATCTATTGCTGTAGGGTTATGATTCATAATCTTCYTCCTTCTCAGTCTTTCCTCTTGTTTCTCTTTTTTTTTTCCTAGTATGCCATCACAGTTACTGATGGTGTTTTTCTTTGTCATGCCTTAATTTTACCTACATTGATAAAAATGGAGAAAAGAAACCCTTAGCATCATAAAAATGCTAGGTAAACATGCAATGAAAGTAGGGGTGTGTTAATTTTCAAGATGACAGATACATTTTTTCACAAAGACTAACTTTGTAATTTATCCCCTAGAGAACTAGATAATACAAAATACAAATAATACAATTCTCTGAAATGATAATTTTTGCCAAGGTTTTGTTCRTAAGATATTTATCCATGAACATTTATGTTAAGTAGCATTTTTGGCCTTTCCGAGAAAGCATAGCTATCTTGATACATTATTCACAGACCACATTTCAGCTAACAATATTAAATTTACCCTGGAAAACAATCAGTAACAAAATTTCCCCTAAAGAAAAGCAGAAAATATAATCATGGCATGTGAGTCTTTGTGTAGTCGTCCTTAAGAGTCCACATGCACCAATGCCTGAATGCTTCTTTAAGATCACATCGGCTGTCTCTTGGGATAGATGAAAAAGGTCAAGAGGTATAAAGTAATAGAGGGAATAACAATTAAGGAAGCTAATCCTGTATGTCATCAAATAACCTTTACTATCCTTCTGTGACTCCTTTAAATTAATATGGTCAGATAGGAACATAGATGCTCATGCCTTTCTAGTAAGATTGACAATTTATTATAAGGTTTAGTGTAGCAGTAGCCAAACCCTGATTCGTTGAAACTTCTGGTTTTGTAAGGATGAGTATTGAACATCTGAATGGCATATAATGACTTGTCACAATTATGTTAAATTAGAGAGCTTTATGCTTTTCTTATCATGCAACTGAAAAGTTRCAAGGAGGAAATATCAGCCTGAATTGATGTAATCTTTGTGACAGTAAACAAAAACAAGAAGAAATGCTGGGATTCAAGATTTTCAAGCTGAACTCTAACCTAAATCTGGGCCAAACTGATTCTCTGTTTTGACCCATCTCTGCAAAATGTACAGCAAAGATGAAATTTCCCGTTGTGCAGTCAGATAGCATTAGTAAAATCCTCAACATAGATCTTAAAATGTTATCAAGCATGATTAAGTAGTGCATACAATCATCTCTATGAACCTTCATCTTATGAGTAAATGTCCTTCTAAAAACAGCAGTTAAAAATACCTTAGATTTTAGCTATATTGCTGCTAGTGTTTTTACTTAGTTGTATGAATCTGTATAAAAATATGCCCTTATTAGTTGGTGATAAATACTACTTTTTATGCCTTGCCCAGTTCCCATAGTATTAAATATCTATAAAGGTCAACAAGGACTATAAGGAAATATCCTTTCAAATGATAAATGTTAGATTGTTATGGATGAAAATAAAATACCTATTACAATATGTTCAAAAGTATTAACTCTTCTAGATTTTTAATGCTATTCCTAAACTAGTAAGGCGTTACAATAATTGAACAAATATCTGATTCTTTTAAATGGAAGAGCTGTATTTGACTGCAGTCAGAAAGCAAAAATAGTCCCAGAAGCGAGAGGCAGAAGGGTAGGAAAGCCACTGGGTACTGAAGCAGTCTTGCATTAGTGGGGGACACACTCTGATGGTGCRAAAGCCTCTTCTGTCCATCTCTGCCTTCCAGGCACACACGTGCTCTAAAGCTGTACTSTTGCACAGCTGTCTGGATCATAATTCATGCATAAAGATAGACTTCTTGGAGATTTTGTAGGAGATCACAGTAAACAGCTAAGGAAGAGAAGCTTATCACATCTGTATTGAGCAAGGATTTATAGGACTGCATTAAAAAAAAAAAAAAAAAAAGAGTTTGTGATAATCCAAAGAGCGGAAGAGCAGAGAGTGGTAAGGAAGTCTGGTATGCCGTATTGTATACAAAGTGAGCATGATGGATGCATATATACTACTCATTTAATTAGTAATACATAAATAAATCATGCATTGTAATGTTATACTTTTTAACCTTAAAGCATAGTGAAAAYCTGAAACTGATAAAGGAAAGATTTTAGTTAGAGCTTTAAAGTTTAATTTCATTTGCCCAGGAGGCATATAAATTCATACTTATTCTATTGCTTAATCTGATTTTTCAGATGTCTTTCTTTCCTTTAAACTGAGCTAAAATACTGGCTTCTGCTAAATTCACAATACCTTGTTTACTTTTTGCTTTTCATTAATCCCTGARTAACAGTTTATAGAATGAAAGCCTGGCCCCAGGGAGGTCAGTGAGATTTTTTCCAAATATCTTCTCGGGGGCGGTGGTCTCAGCTCTGTGTTTTACACCTTATGCAGGGCACTATGACAATGTGTGTCTTGCTAAAAAGAAAGGAAGGAGCAACTTTTTGGTGCCCCTGCTGCATGTGCTGGCACACCTAAGATTAACCCTGTTAAGATGTCCATCCTAAAAAAAAGTTCTCATTTGGAAAGAAATATCCTAAAAGAGAGCCAGGTAAGTAAGCTAAGCAGCTTACCAGAGCGGACAAGTGGGGGCTGCATTCTACYTTGGCATTGGTCTGCGACACACTTTTTATTAAAAAAAAAATGTATACTATTTTGGCATTTGGTAATAAAATCATAACTTTATCTGAAGACCAAAGTCATTATGTGCTACCCACTAGGAAAATAACACTAAGGCTGAGTGTAAAATAAATAATTAAAGTTCATTTTAGATTGATTTTGCCTGATGATAGTGCTTATGCGAGCTTTTTTTTTTTTTTGGATTATTTTACATGTATTTCTTACCATTGGCTAGACTTTCAGGATCCTTGTGATTTTTTTCAAAATTTTAAAACCTATATGAACATTAAAACTCGAGTACATTTACTCAGTTTTGTTGTTGAATTCTCCACCAGTTAAGGCAAAATCTGAGCCTATTAGATCTGTGACAGAGCTCTTTGTTGCCACATCAGTAGGTTTTTGCCACCTAGAGCTGGATGCAAAGCTTATTTCCTCACACACATGTTCTGAAGTTCCCTTTATTTTCTCACTGCCTCCATCAAGAAATTCCATTCCTAATCGTATATCTGGATTTACACCTATATCAAGCACGAAACAATTTAAAATCTTTGACAATACAAACCTACCTAAATCCAATTGCAGGATCAGTATCTCCAGTAGTACCCCCAGATATAATGGATTTCTTTTCCCATGCAAGTTAGTTTAGGTTTGCTGCTGTTCACATGTAGTGAGAGGTGACCTCTTGGCTTTGATGAGTGAAATGGAGACGGTTTCAGGTCTCAAAAGGGASTAGGTGACTATAATACCTGCACTGCGGAATGTGGCCTACTAGGCAGGCCGGCAGATTTTGGGCAAATGCAGCCTTCTTCACATTATATATATATATTTATTTATATGTATACTCACATATATTTTTTTGGCCTGTGACATCCTTTTCTGCTAACAAAGCAGCTAGTATTTTGACTTGTCCCTTCCTCCTTGTCTCTTATTTGGTACAACTTCTCTCCACAAAACTCTCTGTTGTTTCCCTACTTGAAGCACAATAGTTCTCTCTTCTTTCACAAATGACATAACTATTCAGATTCTTAAGAGGGAGTGAAAACTGAGACAGTTAAAACATAATCATTACTAGGAGTGTTGTGCAGGCTGCATTTTTTTGCCTCACAAGCTTGATTAATTAAATATTTATGAAAGAGAAACACCTGGCACACTTCCATAAACAAATAGGTCTCCTGTGGGTTTGTAACAGCTGAGGAGATTTTTGAGGGACCACAGGGATCTCTGAGTAAAGTCTTGCTCCCAGCTTGAGTTCTTGCACACTGCCGTTTCTCATAAATATGCACCAACGTACAAGTAATTTCTATTTTGAAGACAGAAAATGCAATATCAACAGATGAAATCCAAAAGACAGACAAAGAAAAAGGTGAGGTTTAGGCAGAACAGAGTTGCTCTAGGTGGGCAGACTGAATCGGCTTTATTTATTGAGGAAAGGTCTGATGCTAAATGAGATCAAAGAATTGGGGCCTTTTCTTATGGTATTTGGTTAGGGCTGCTAGTTAAATGCTGAAAGCCATAAGATTTGTTGAAATCTAAGGGGCAAGGGGCAAGAAATTATGCAAGACACCTAAAAGTGGGAAATTCATTCTTTTCACTATTTCAGCTGCTCTTCCAGATGGATCTACTCCTTAGACACTTCCTTGAGTCTTCATCTTCAGGGGAATATTTTCACTGGTATGTCATACTTTAAAAATAAAAATAGCTGTGCCACCCCCTTCCGTTACCACTGGGCTGGCATGATTGCTTTTATCGACCACAGCYTTGCCGTGGTCAGCTGCCTATAGCTGATTGTCTTAGTTCTTGGGAGTGGAAATAATGTAGCTGTTAGTGTTAAATTCTTCTGTAATGTCTTTTACATGTGCTTACATGCCATGTGCTGTCTGTGTGTTGTGTTRTACTTGATCACGCTCCAACTGTAATTTTTGCTAGGAAATCTTAGAAACCTGCCAGCTGCACTACAGCTCTGAAGTGAAAGGCTCACAGTATGTGGGAAGATGATCAAGACGTATTAAATGTTTTGTGTTTCTGAGGCTGAGGGCTAAAATTAATTGTGCTGGTAGCAGTTTTGGATATGGTCAAATGTTAATTCATTTCTCAAGTTCAGGCACAGCAAAGTATCTAGGTGAACCTTTAAAACTCGGATTTGTTTCATCTTATGTTAATTTAGTTTTCCCCTTGCTGGAATCACAGCAATACCAGAATAAGTCGTGTGCCTTTTGCATTTTAAAGTTCTGAAGAATATTTTTTTTTTAGTTATTAACAAAGAAAAATGTTTTTTCTGAGAGTTTAAATTGTTAATCGCTAAACTAATACAGATCTTTTTTTTGGTAAACAGATTTTTTTTTTTTTCTCACACTCAGTATAATGTATTTGAATGGAATGTTTCTGAGCTGTGGCTGTTTTAAGTATTAAAGTTAAGATAACCATAAACACTTCTATTTATCAATAAAAGTAAAAACTGGAGTTGCTAGGGCAAAGTATTCCAAATGAATCCTCACCACTGGCTTATTGTGATAGGATTCAGATGATGTGGRTTATAAGGTGATGTGGAAATAAATCAGCATTGTGTTTAGTATTAAGATAAGTCATAACTCATTTTCTAGGTAACTTAAGAAAAGTGAAATAGTATTGTTTCTAATGCTGTGAAATTTGGTCAAAAGACTAATGAAATCAAGAGTTTTTTTTTTTTTTAATGAACTACAGTATATTATAGATGAGACTTTCACACCTCCTTCTCTTGTATTGTGCAAAGCATAATTCTASGGTATGAGGTTTAGAGAATTTGCTTATATTGAATGTAGAATCTCCTTTTATGCAACACCTTCTCTTGCCATGTTAACCATATATATCTTTTTTATTAAATTTAATATATATTTTCCCAGAAGTAGTATGCACTTATATGTAGTTTATCGAGATATATTGCATTTTTAAGGGGATGTTACAAAGCTTAGCTTAATTTAAAGCAGACCTCTTGCATACCTGCCGTTTCATTTGGCTTTCCCTGGGCATCTATAACAACAGTGTAATATGTTCCAGGTTTACCTGCTCTCTTTTGTTCTTCTTGTTTATTTGTTTTTAATTGAAAGTGTTGAGCACATATTTCATAGATAAACTAAAATCATTCTTTGAAATTAATGGGGATACTAGGTGCCCAAGGACTGAAGAGCTGKATCCCTAACCATCAAAAGTGTTTTGTAATTGTATATGGTGAAGGTTTAAATGTCCTGACAAGGAAGAATATTAATACTGAGTGCTGGCAGACAGATCTTGATTTAATAAAATGTCTTTATTTCCTGCTAACCAAAAATGAACAGTGGATTGTTTAAAAAGGATGAACCACAGAAATCACCTTGTTAGATATAAAGAGTTAATAGCATTCATTATAATGAGATAAAAAGTGATGGTTGTAAGGTCAAGTGTGAGAAGGAGAGAGTTCAAAGACAGTGTAGACCCTTCAACATAATACAACATAGCTTTAAAAGTGAGAGAGGAAATGCATCGCTTGATGAGAAGAAAAGCCTCATGTAAGCTTGATAAATATTCAGGGTTTGTGTGTAATGAGAAATGGAATCTGATGAATGAAATGTCATGGTAAAATCATTTTAATCAATAATGGAATGTGACATTATTCAGACCATAGTAATATGTCTTCTCCTTTTTATTCCTTCCCTGTGGTATGCTTTCCTTCCATTTTCTTTTTTAAAATAGCTTTTTTTTTTTTTTTTTGCCTTAACTTGAGATTGGTTATGCTAATGTAATGTTGTTATACTTCTTGCAGCCTTTCTTCTGCAGCTAAAATGCTGAATATGTAATGTCAGAATTCTAGACATAAACACAGGAAAATAGACATAGTATATAGGAAGACACAGTTTTTTCTGGGAATATTTATCTATTGAAATAAGATTTTCTTGTGTGTCTGTCCTCCAGTTTTGGTACTGTAGAATATAAAATTGGGACTGGGTAAGCATAGGTGCTGTATATRTGTGTAGGGAATGCTTGTTCAAATCATAATGTAATGTAATAACATCATTATAAATAACTGGGTAATTTATGTACTATTGCATGGTAGCTGTCATTTGCTTTATTGCAATGTTTATTTTAGCATAATAAAATGAGATATTTATTTTCCATTATTGAGATCTTGTGTTATGGCTTTAAAAATGATGATTTTATAATGTCTGTTGATGATAATGCTTTGCCATCCTTATGGACCCTTTTATCTGAAAACCCTGAAGTTAATTTTGAACACTGAACAGATAAGCCTGTCAGTTTATCCTCATCRTTTTATAGAGAAAGTAATTGAGAGAAAGAGAGAAATCACTGTTATTCAAGGTCACATAGAAAGCCTTTGACAAAACCACCACAACCACCACTGAGCTATCTTGACTCCTGCTTTGGCTCTTCAGTCATAAGATCACTTTATTTTGGACTTCTCAGCCTTTTGGTCCAAATGGGCCTTTGTGGACCCTTTTTTGGGGTGTGCAAAAGGCACAAATCTGATTATTACACTACTTTCAGTCATTTGTGGACAGAAGCTAGACTGGAAGAAATAAACACACAGACATGCACACACCTCCTAAAGCAGGACAGTTAGAACATACCTTCTGCTAATATGCCGTGGGGGTCTTTTTGGTTATTTTTGGTTATTGGTTTAGTTATTTTTAAATTCTATCTCCCTTTAGATGTTCTATGTATTTCACAACTTTTGGTTCCTGCTCTATGGTATTTTAACAAAATAGTAGGTGAAGGGATAAAAGTTGATTTAAAAATTATGAACATGCATTTCTCTCTCTTTATTTGTTTAATTGTTGGTAGCTATTCATCAATGCCTGAATTGCTCTTTCTCYTTTACTATAGTAACATAAAACAATGAATATTGTCCATACATCAATATCAAATGTTTATTTTTTTTAACTTTATTCATATCATAAAATTTTGCAGAAATTATATTGATGGAAGTCACTGATCCCTCTTGCAGAAGCTGTTGTATCAGTTGCGTTGAAGGCACAGTTGTTTGATTAGCCATAACAATTGTTTGAAATTGTTGGCCTAAACATAACCAACCACAAGTAATTGTTGATGGAGACATTAGCAAATGAAGTGCATATCCAAGAAGGGATTTTAAAGAGGAATGCATTGGTACACTTGCTTCCAACCTCCTCAAAATACYTTGTTTCTCTTCTAGGCCTTCTTTTTCTGTATAGGGCATAAAAAAAAGAGATAATGATTTTCTGTGCTGAAAATCAGGGATAGCAGAGAGAAGAGACAGCTGCAAAAAAATTCTCATTCATGAGAGGGAGAGACTCSTGAGGTCTCTGTCTGCCAAGCTGAGGCACCAGCTCAGCCCAAGCAGTAGGATCTGGAGATGAGAGGAGCCCTTTTCTCCAGTTTTCCTCTCTGCACTCCATACAGTGGCATCAAATACTGGGCATCAAATCTGGAGGAGAGATATGCCAGAGGTGACTTTGTTCCCAGCTTTCCAGTTTCCTCCAGATTGCGATGACTAGTCCTCTTTCTGTCCGGTAGAACAGTTCTGYACTGTTCACTACCTATTGCTGGCATGAGGTACAAGTGGATTTGCAAGTGCACATTTTTTTCTTTTTCCCAGAATGTGCAAGAATATGTAAACAAACACATACGAGGAAAGAAATATCCCATTTTGACAGGTGTACCACTCTGCYCAGTGCCCCAAAGAGATACAGTAGTGTTTCTACCTTGCTAAAATAAAATAGTATCTGTATTATGACAAATTAGAATATCTTTAGAAACCTATACAGCCCAGCAGAAATTTTCTTTGTATTTTCTAACTTCAGACAAGTATCTTCAGGATACTTGTATACAGCTGTAACTMTCTTTAATATTGATAGTTAGAGAAAGTATTGGCACTCTTTTTAAGTTTACATGTTAAGAGTCATGTAGCTTGAATCCTCTTATCACAAGATAGGTAAAGCAAAAAATATTAATATAGGATTCCATATACTGTTTTGCAACAACGATGTTTAAAAATCAGTGAGCCTTATGGACATTCTTGGCACTCCAAAAATCTTGTTATCCTTGATCCTCAAGTTAAGCAAAGTATTTATTTTCATGATGAAGCAGTACATATTGCTCAATGTTGGTATTTATTTTTTTACCCTCTTATAGGGGATGGGCCAGGAGGAAATAAAATAAACTTTCATTCTTAGGAGGTGCGGATAATTTCTTCAAGTTATTTCATTTGCATTATGTGAAAGGTCATTTGTAATACACTGGAATGATGGAAGGTTTCCTAACTTTAAAACATAATTTATTAAACTAAGAAATGCTTTTCATGCTATAGGTGGTTTTCATGTTTCAGATGTGCTTTTTCTAGGAAGCATTGCAAATGTGGGAGCAATTAAAGGTTAAGGCTTAAGCTTAAAGGTAACTTATATGAAAATTGGCAAGTATTTGAGAAAAGCAACTATATAATATTTAGGTAAATCCTAAATACTTGTTTGTATAGGTTTTAAGGAATGCTCTCTTTTCCATTTTTATTTTTTAGATTTGAAGGCTAAACTCCTGTGAGGAAAAGATCTAGTCAAGATAGAATTCTCTCTTCATTGTCAAATCCAAATAAAGTCCTTATTAAAAAAAAATCTGAATGTGTTTAGAGAGTGCATTCATGATTGGTTGTAAACCACTTTATTTTACTGAATTGTTTAATTTGAAAGGCTGGTTGTCTTATTCAAGGTCTGTCAGGCTCTCAGCTTTTCTTTTACAGTTAAGAATCTTCTAACGTTATTTTTAAAAACACATTAATGGAAAGGTCTATTTTAATAGTATTCTAAGTTGAAGTAAATGCAAGTTAGATTGGCTTTGGGACCGTTAATGGAAATTTATGGCAATTTTGGCATACAATAGCATGGAACAAAAATGTAAACAGGACTCTTGTACTTACCTGCTTGCCTGCCATTTTCAGCAAGTATGAAATCACACTTACTTTAAAAGGACATACTAGTTATTAAGTAGAGGAACTGCAGACTCTCTTAAAATTCAGTATGCATCTTATCACCTGCTATCAAAAGACTATTGACTCTTTAGGGGATCTTACAGAGCACAGTAATTGCTAGCTAGGGCTATTATTAGGAATATTTATGAGATAAGTAATAACTCTAACCTTCAAACCCTGTATGAATTGGATTAATTTTAAAATACTGGTCTGCATATAGATACTTTTTGATGAAGTTATCAGCAACAGCAGTTCTTGTTTTGAAGCTGAAAATGAACCTGAGCGTGACTTCATGAATTTTTCAGCATACCTTTGATAAAGCTGTTATCTAAATTTGAAACATGGGTTTGAGTGTGTGCTTGCACATTGTGTATAACAGGTTACTTTTAAGAGTAGATGCTGTAAAGAAAATCAGAGCTGAGCCCTGTGACAGATTAGCTTCACTGACTTCAAGAATATTCTGATGGGTAATCCCAGTGTTTAACATCCATTCAAGGCAGATAATCAGAATTACTCCCAGGAAGAGCCTCTCATTTTCCTCRCCGATTATCGTTATCTTTCATGAACACCTCCCTCTACTTGCTTTGGCCTTTAAAAATAGCATAGAAGCAAAAATGCTTGTCTCAATAGACTTTGAGGTGAAGTGGTTTACTTAAACACTGCAAAAGTGCTTAAAATTCCAGGGATTAATTACAGGAAACCCTTTTTTTTTTTTTTTTTTTTTTTTTTTTTTTTTTTTTTTTTTTTTTGTTAAAACTAGAGTTACATAATCTTGGTTCTTCAAAGCACACAAATTGTATAGGAGGCTGTGCGTGAGCACTAGCTGGCTCTGCCCGTGGAAGAGAAACCTGTAGTTGGAGTCAAAAGATGGCAACAAAAGTTCCCATCACCTGCAGAAGCCCTGCTGTTAATCAAATGCTCTAAGTGACAATAAAACTGTAAAAGAGGCCATTTGGTCTTCTTTCATTTTCTAGTATGTTCCTGCTGCAATTAAAATATTGAAGACAGGCCAACAAGTGTTCATGTCTTAGGTACTGAAAGCATGATGGATATCTAGGAACACATTATTGCTTTCTATTATCTGCTCCTGGCTAGATGAAGGATTGCTCTTGGCTTCAAAAGGAATAGTGTAAAGGATCCAAAGAGGCACTGTTCTTGGATCTAATTTGAAACTGTGATGAATGCAGATTTTGCTAGTTGTCCTTTTATTTAAGTAACCAAAAATATAGTTTTGTAGCAGGATTTGAGCAGGATTTGGCGTGTGAGAAAGTGGAGCACTGTATATAAATATGAGGTAAATATGAGGTTCAAAAGCTTTTTTCATTTTTTCATTAGGAATTGCCAAAAAATCAGAGGTTCCTTTGGCCTTTTTTTTTTTTTTTTTTTTATTGTGTTTTATGATATATTTTAAAACTTGGAGAAGCTGCTGTTCTGCTTTTTTCAAAGTTTTCTGCTCTTGTAAAATAAAAGTGAAGAAAAACATAAATTGTTTTTTTAGATAAAATTGCCTTTCGTACACATACTAAAAATCAGTTGTTTTTAGAGACTTCTTTGACTTCTGTTTCATACTTTTTTTCATACTTTTTGATTTTTTTCATGGGTTAATTATTTCTTGTGAATACCCCACCTTACTTGCTTCAGCCTTTGAAGAGCAGTGCAGAGGGACTTGTCCACTCTTCTCTCTCCTGAAATAGAAATTGAGGTGGTTCACACAAGTGCTTAAAATTTTAAGGATTAAAGAGTTGCATATATAAGAATTTTTCACACAAGGTTCACTTCCTTCCCCATTCTACGAATTGATGGCATGTAAAGTGTCTGTGTGCAAATTGCTGAAGGTATTTTTGATTGAGAAGGGGAASCTCAAGATAAAATACAGATAAAATTAATATTGAAAGACTATGTTCTTTAAGTAGCATCAAATTGTTGGGTTTCTTTATTTTTCCTTCAATATTTGTTTAAAGACAAATTATTTGTTTATAGACAAATTATTATATCATGAGCTATGAGAAAAATATCAAAACTAAATTTTACCACAATATGTATATTTCTTTTTTTTTTCCATAAATATTTCCTTGAGTATTTGACCAACTGGGTTTCTCCTCAAAATGTTCTTTTCTTTTGGATGAGAGTTTTGAGGCAGAGAAGAGCAATTTGCCAAAAGAGTGTCATAATACTTTATACAGGCATTTACAGAGACTTCCAACTCCCCTGTGACAATTTCTCATATTAGAATATTTTTCAWTATGCATCTCTCTTTCAGGTTACCAATGAATATCCTTTAGAAGAGCCAAATATTCTGTGTCATCATWTGACAGCTTAATGACACTCTTAATGATTCAGTTTAGAAAGGAGGTACATGTTATATAAAACTGAGTCTTTTAGATATAAAACTCATATATATATTGAATATATATCATGAATAAAAGCTATACACCAAGACTAATAAGTGATTTTTTTACTTTTTTTTTTCTAAACAAAATCCCAAATGCATGAAGCTGTAGAGAGTTCAACAAAAATTTAAAAATTCGTAAGCAAGAGAAAAAGGAAGATGTGGTCCAAAACCAACCTGTTTTTCCAAATAACTCAGTAAAAGATAATGATGCACATTAATCATCATTAATAGGAGGGATAAGGGGATGTAATTAATTAAATTCTGAGAACTTACTGCAATCTTTAAAAAAAAAATTGTTACTCTGACAAATTTTGAGAAGTTAATACCCTGCAGCTCTTCAAACATTTTCTATATRAACTGTACATGGTTCTTTCATGTTTACTTTGAAAAATGAGTTTGAAGYAGGGTCTGCAAAGATGACATGAGCTTACACAACTTACAAGTCCTGAAATGAAACCATCTTTGGAATAAGATTGTCATACTTTGAAATAACTTGAAGTCCAAGTTTGGAAGAGACTCGAAAGCTAGTGGTAGACTTACAGAAAATAAATAGAGGATTTAGAAATAACAGCAAAAMCCACAACCACTTTGTTATTGAATAAAAATGCACAGAAGAAGATAGCCTTTAAGATGCTTTTTGGACCTTTCCTTCCGTTCCCCCTAAAAGGTTCTAGAGTATGTCGACCATCTCCCTACCTACTCACCTATGTGATTTAGGGTAATATTTGGAAGTGCAGATTTTTGACTTTCAGCAATGCTCAATGCTGTGTCAACAGGCTTCTTAGAACTAATTTCTTACATAAAAAAAAAAAAAAAAAAGGTAATTTCCCTTTCCTCTCAGAAAACTAGTCTGTTGGTGCAACCRTGTAAAAACTCTGTATTTTCAGAGGGCTTTATCTACATGAAAAACAGGCCCTGCAAAGGAGTTATGGCTGGCTGGAGATTTTTTGAGGCTRCAGGTAGATATGCACAGAAAATCATGCCCACAACCTATTTTCTCCCCACTATTTCCACCCCAATGGCAGCATTCCTAAAGAAAAATTAGATCTTACCACCAATGTTTTCTAAATTCATGTGGTTAACTTGACATTTTCACAAGAGAAGAATAATTAGGGCTATGCTCCTCCTCTTTCTCTTCTTTGATGCAACAGGAAACGAAAATGGTAGATTTAATTTTCAAGTTTGCAATCTGTTTTCTCTTTCCACCAATTTTATAGAAGTGTTTCTTATGTGAATAATTTACTAAAACAAAATTACCCTGTTTGGTATAGCTTCCAAGACTTCGTACGACTTTTTGCATTGAATTGGTGGCATTGATGAACTCCCATTGATTGCTTTGTTATGGACTAAATTGAAATTACCTTTARGAGAAGAGTTTGGTAGTCCCTGTCACTGCTCTTCCAGAGATGTTGCAGTGCCCAGCTATTCCCCTGCATATGTGGACTGCTTATACTAAACTGATAGCAATAACAGGAATAATGTTCACTCCATTCTGTGGAAATAGATTGCAATCTGTCTGTTGGCTGGTTTCCTTGCTTACACTGCAACTTTCAACATGGTAATGAAAACTCTTGTTTTTGTTATGTCACAACAGAACTTTTGGATGGAGCATTTTACACTATAGCAGAAAGTAAATGAGAAAATCTGTTCCCTATAAAGCTCAGAAAAATATAAGCAACTTGCACCATTTCTGTGGAATAATAGATTTATTTTTCTTGTCAAGAAGAGCAATGTTGATAACTTCCTGCATTGCAGAGACTCCATAATTTCACCTATTTTTTTTTCAACAAGCCAAAAACTTCCTGTATAGTTAAAGCATAACCATAAGATATGATTATAAGGATTTCAGTTGCCATCACAGCCTGAKAATTCTTTGCTGTGAATTTTACTGAACCTTTCTGATTTTTTCAGCTTTCAGCCTTGGATCTGTTACCTCTGCATTTAGACTGAAAAGCTTTGCCTTATCACAACTACTCTATACTATCCACTCACCAATGATAATAAAGAAAAATTATTGTAATAATTAAGGTTTAGCGATTTACTGTGTTCCACTGCAGTGCAGCATGGGACATCATCTAGGACAGTTTAAGGAAGAATAGTAATTTACTTGAACTTGCATACCTTCACAAAGCATTTGATTTTTGTCAGGTAATGAATAATATATATGTACTTGCTATATGTTTATGAAGCATTTTTAAGGATGTGCTGAATACAGAATGGATGCTTTTTGTGAAGAGTAGTAGAA